AGGGTGGCAGCTTTCTGAGTGAAATGATCAGGTGAAAGGCATCCCAAGGCGCCGACAATCTTCTGAGGGAGAAAAGATGGGCGAGCAAAGATGATTCACGTGATCCACCTGGGAAAGGGGCTTCTAAAGAAAAAGAAGTGTTCTGAAGCTGCCTGTTTCCGTTTAGTTCGGATTCAAACTGTGAACTTTGAAGCAAAAGAAGCCTAGGATCGGGGCAGCCTGTGGAGACCACTCGGCTTCTCAAGCTCGGACCCCATCTAAGGACTTCGGGATGCAGGTGAGGCAAACACCATCCAGAGCCGGGTGGGGTGAGGGTGGAAAACGCAAGGAGCTTGAGAGCAGGGCTTGTGGGATAAACAGAGGAAGCCCAAGGGCAGCCAAAGGCAGCCAGGAGAGGCATTAGCCTGGCGAGAGCAGATGCCTCACAGAGCAAACAAAGCCCAGGGAAGCTTTTACAGCTCAGTCAGCACAAGCTTTGTCATCTATGTTACTGCCTACCAGAAGGGGAGAAGGGCTGACAGACATCTTCAAACGCCGCATCCAAGAAATCAATTTGGTGTTCAACCATCACCTGTTAGGCATTCTAAATGAACATGACTAAATTTGGTTTATAATGGTTGAATGCCACTTTATAGATGGCTCAGTAACTTCCCAGGCACAAGGCAATGACAGGCTCAGATGACAGATAAACCAAGTCTGACGGCACTGTCTGACTAGCCCATTGTGGCGCTTTTGTTAGCGTCAGTGTTTATCAGGAAAGGGAAAATCAGAAAAATGGGAGCCTGGTTCTGAAGCACCTGCTGCCCTATGAAGGCAGGCCTGAGGGAGCCATGGGAGGGCCACTCTCCTTTGTCTCCATCTGACTCTTCAGTGTGACATCTTTTGCATTCATTTTGGGAAAATGCAGACACTTAAGGAAACATTGAAGATATGGGAAAAAGAATTGCACGTGTGTTTGTCAATTGGACTGAAACAGGTGCCAATTTGTCCACATTTGTCACATCCAAATGGCACAGGAAACCATAAAACCCTTCCCAGACCTGGTCCTGTCTCCTAAGAGGTGATCATGGTTTCCTAGTTGCAATGTGGCATTCACATTTGTATTAATATGTGGGAAGACTTCCCTTCTTAATCAACCATCAGGGGTCCTGAGATGGCTTGTTGAGGTTGTTTGGTTGCAGTTCTTCGCCTCTGTCCTGTGTTTTGCAGAGCCAGGAATCAAACCCGGGGCATGACTTCTAAAATCGCTGTTTTGTTTATCCTTAGAGGATCTTCATCTTTTAGCTAACGAATAAATCAGTTAGCTAAACACGTTTGAAATTACTTGGATACCAATTTTTATTACCGGTTCCATTTATTCTTTTGTGTCCTCTTTGTCTTCATCCCTTGGTCGTATGATTAGATTTCTCTCTACTCCTTCCCTGCAGATCGTGTTTTGCTCTGGTTAATGCGCTGTTGGAACTCAGCGTACCTGCATGAAAAGTCTTAGCTGAGAACAGGCCAGGGAAACAGCATTGCTATGTCTTGCAGTTAGTGCTGTGGAGGTGTTTCGGTCCTGGCCTCCTTCCTTTAACTGTCTTCGCTCATTTCTACAGTGAGCGATGACCCTGCCCCTTCTCAGACGTCTGCTCTTCTTCCCCAACAGCTGGAAACCCTTGTCGGATTCAGCATCTGCTGTGGCAATGGGGTCACCACAGTCCTTCTGGGGTTAAGGAATCCAGGTGCTTCTAGCCAATAGGAACTCTCCTGTCTCTCTCGTTTAGGTTAAAAGTGTATTAAGACACCTTTGTTTCCGTAATGGCAAACATTTCTATGACTTATAGCAGAGAGGTAGCAGCATAGCTCAGTTTCCTGGTAGGAATCAGAGATGTTTTAAAGCAGTTCCTGTAAATTAAATGTATGTGTGCAAGAGTCTGTGTGTGTGTCTCTGTCTGTGTATCTATGTGTGTATGTGTGTCTGTGTGTATATCTGTAAGTGTATGTGTGTCTGTGTGTAGTCTGTGTGTGTTTCTGTGTGTGACTGTTGTGTGTGTGTCTATGTGTGTCTGTGTATGCCTATGTGTCTATCTATGTGTGTCTGTGTGTAGGTTGTGTGCGCTTATCTGTGTGTGTGTTTCTATCTGTGTGTGACAGTGTGTCTGTCTGTGTCTCTGTGTGTGTGTTTCTATCTGTATGTGACAGTGTGTCTGTCTCTGTCTGTGTGTGTGTCTGTGTGTTTCTATCTGTATGTGACAGTGTATCTGTCTGTGTCTGTGTGTTTCTATCTGTGTGTGACAGTGTGTCTGTCTGTACCTCTCTGTGTGTGTCTGTGTCACGAATAAACACAGGTCACTTTTCAGTCCCGCCTGCCTCCCTCAGTCCCAGCGCTCACCTCTGACCGAGCCATAATTACGGTCTGACTTCATAATTGCATTTTCCTGTTTTATGCGATAGCTTTGCTGCTTATATTAATTATGAAACAAAGTTTATTTTTTCTGTGATTTTTTGAACCATAAGTGATTGAAATAATTACCGGTTGGAGCAATCGCTTACTTTCTCTTTGGGGCTTAAGGACCAGCTGTCAGCCTGCAGTCAGCCCTTATGGTTGGCCGAGGCCGGGTTGCCAGGTTACAAGGAAACACTCTTGAGTTATGATGTGTCAAGCGAAGTTGCAGTTTGCTATCTGTAGAGGCAATTTGGGTCAAATTCTATCACCCAAATATGAAACACATTCAGGCCAAGTTTATTAATTTACCGTTGGTCATGCAAATCTAGGTAATGGTGAATTTGCTTGGTTCAAGGGGCCATGGCTCGCTGGCTCTTGGGAGACTGTCACCCAGATGGATGGAGCCATTTGGTTCTATTTCTTGCTGCAGTTCTTACTGACTCATACCAGTGTTGATCTGCGTTTGAGTGTTTTTCAAATTTCCTGCTGATATTATTGTGCTAGGATGATATTCTGCATAAGCGCACTTTTATGTGTTTTATAGAATATGTATCAAAGGGTGAAAATATATAATTTTCCTATTAACATACTTCTATTATATTTATATTACATATTAATAATTTATATTGATATAGACAATAGTATATTGATTATATATTATTATAGATGTAACATAGATTACATATACTTATGTATTAGTATTCATATAAAGATTTTGAAAATATTATCAATTACTACATACACACACACACACAGAAGTCCAGCAAGGACCATGGATGTAGCAATAATAGGAATGGCTGCCTGTGTCTTGGGACCCCATACTTGGCCCAGAAACAGCCCCGTTGTAACTGCTAGAGTCTGCTACTGGGTTGTTTCTCAGGGAAATACTCCCACATCTCAGGCCTCAATGTACTCACAAGTAAAGAAGAAAAGGAGCCTCTCTTCAGATCCTACAAAGACACCTTTCAACATCAAAGAACACAGCTTTGAGTTAAGGCTAGTGCTGGGTCTCAGGCTGTTCAGATATCCAGAAAGACCTAACCCTGGATCATCTAGGAGTGCTTCCGGCAGTTAGGGAAAAGCCAGCATTCCTTAGGAACCTGTGAAGCTGGTTCCCATCTGCCAACAGGAGTCATTTCCCTTATGTATGGTAGAAGGGGCATTTGGTTGCCTGTGACACCTATCAGCACATCAAAGCCTATGTGGCCTCCAGGATCACAAGGACCTGCGACATATTTCAAAGTCCATGATAGCATCCTAGCCTTTCTTACCTCCTCCTCTACCCTAAACTCCCTTCAGCTCTCAGGCTTCCCTTTCCCAGCTATTCACCCTTCTTTTAACCTGGGTATACTCGCTATCCTGTCTGTCCGTCCCTTCATCTGCCCATTTATCCATCCATCCATCCATCCATCCATCCATCCATCTACTTATCTATCCATCTATCTGTCTGTCTGTCTATCTATCCATCCATCCATAGCAGCACTTGCTATCCCTTACTTGTGGATGGACACTTTATTGGAGAAGACCAAGCATATGTGAAAGGGACTAAATTTGAAGGCATTTACAGTATGTCGAATAAGACAGAGAGTGGTTAAGACCATAACCTAGACTAGTGCTTATATGCAAGGCCCTGTGTTCAACCCCCCCCCCCGGACTCCTTCCCGCATGAAAGTTTATGTAAGTCATACTGCCATCGAAACACCTCCTAAGGTAACAACTTTGTGTCTTTTTCAGATGGTATATATTAGTCACGAATATATTTATTACTTATTTATTTGTATGTACTATGACATGTATGTAAGTCAGAGAATTCATATTCTAGGTGGCTTGCCGTTTGTTTCTGTCACCATTATTTCAGTGCTAAAATTGTCGTTCTTTTGGCCACTGAGCTGTCCTTGAAGCTGGCTCCTTTAGCAGGCTGGCAGGCATTCTCTATGTCCCTTGTCCCTTTTGGCTCTGCCAGCCTGATCCTTGATGACAGCAACACTGAAATGTTTCTTCAGGCAACGATTTTCTCTGCGCTGTGCTTTTGCCGTTAAACCTACCTCCAGTAATAATAGCATTTTATGTATTAAACCCTTTTAATGTTAAGCAATTTGTGTGCAATTCATTCATTCATTTCAACTGTCCATGTCTGAGAAAGGAGTGGAAGAGTCACAGCCGCTCCCTCCAAAGATTATATGGATTACATGCCTGGATTTGAATGCAAAATAATCTAACTCCAAACATAATTCTGAGCCTCCATGCTTGACACTCTTTAGTGTCTACATCATGGATCAGCAGTCCACATTCCCACACCATGCTACATGCCAAGGGCACGTAAGAAGGCTCAGCCCTCTATGATATATGGCCTGCAACCCTGCTGCAGAAAGGAGTCTGGGCATGCTGGGGAGAGGTGGGTCACTGAGTGCTGTGTGGTTTGGAAGAAAATGACCCCTGTAGGGAGGGGCACTATGAGGAGGTGCTGAGTGGGTATGGCTTTGTTGGAGGAAGTATGTCACTGTAGGGGCGGGCTTTGAGGTCTCCTATGCTCAAGTTACACCCACTGACACAGTTCACTTCCTGTTGCCTGTAGATGAAGATATAGAACTCTCGGCTCCTTCTCCAGCACCATGTCTGCCTGCATGCTGCCACGTCCCACCGTGATGATGATGGATTAAACCTCTGAAACTGTAAGTTACCCTTAATTAAATGTTTTTCTTTATAAGAGTTGTCATTGTTATCCTGTTTCTCCGCAGCAATACAAGACCCTAACTAAGACAAGCAGCCTTTGCTATTCCCTTCTGTGCCTTGGTCTGTGTTGGAAGCTATGATACCTAGGAAATCTCCCGCCTGCAGTCCCATCCCCTGGAGGGATTGCTCCACATTTTAGACTCCTGCTAGAGCCACCTTTGTCCATCTTAAACTACTAAGGAAGACACGTGACATTTATCACCTCTTCCTTTGTGCATCTCTGCTTGTGTCCAGGAGCCACAGTTATAGGACTCTTCAGAAATCATGTCACAGAAATCACCTCTCCTGAAGCAAAAAGTACACTGGGGTGGAGAGTTATGGGGCTGAGTCACTCATGAATACTTTCCAGATGCAAGCGTCTGGTAGACGCACACCAGATACACATGAGCCCTCTATGAACACAAGAGACCAGCCAGACCTGTCAGCTCTCTGATGGTGCTGGTCAGCGGACATAAAGGCTGTGATTTCGATATTTTTCTGATGTCAAAATCTGAGTGACTTAGTGGTCCAGTGTCTCTGCTTTGCAAGGTGACTTTTCTGTGTGGTTCAGTGCCCCCTCCACTGGCTTCATCCCTCAGAGACTGAGGCAATTCATTATCCATTTATGCAACAGTACTGGCTTGAGGGTGCCCGGCTCTTGTTAAATGATACAGTTTAGGTTTTGCCAGCCAAGTTGGATGTCAAGGACCAGCTTGCATTGCAACTCATTCTGCAGAAGATTTGGGGTAACCCAGGCACAGTTAGGTTTCACTTAGCATACAGAATGGAGATTGCAGAGAGATGGGGCAGGGAGTCCTTGCTGAAGAAAGTCTGAACTGAACACAAACAGTACAGCCACACATACAAGAATGGGGGATGGTCTTAGAGTTCAGCAGTCCCCTCTCTGCATCCAAAACTGAGAGACCTAGGTAGTGGATGAGGCAATTTCCTGAGCTATGTGACCCTGAGATAAGGCCATGGCCCTCAGAGTCGGGAGTCGCCTGTGGACACTGCACCTCCATTCCCCTGCAAGCTCAAGAACTGCTAAATACCAGAGTAGCTGTCTAGAAAACCAACAGTCGCCGTTTTTCATGGGGTTTACATTTTAATGTATTTTACTTTTAGTTATTTTTAGTTTGTTTTCTGGACGTTTTGTTTTTATTGTTGCTTTTTGTGCAGGGTCTCATTATGTAACCCAGGCTGGCTTTGAACTCAGCATCCTTTTCATCTTTCTTCTTCAGTCTCCCAAGTACTAAGAGTGTAGGTGTCCACCACACCCAGCAACATACTTCACATTTTAACTAACATACCACTGTTTATATTTATGTGATGCAGTGTGACATCCCACGCATGTGTGTCCACAGTGTGCACTATTCAGGTCCAACCTCCTTTAGACATCTAGCCCATTTTCCTATTTCCCCAGCCTCTATTATTCACTATTCTACATTTAGGTAGAGTTTTTTTTTTCTTTTTAACTTCCAAATACGAGAGAGAACATATGGTATTTGTCTCTGTAACTAGCTAGTTTTTCTCACCACAGTATCCTCTGGTCCCATCCACTTTGCTTGCAAGTGACAAGATTTCATTCTTTGCGGCTTAATAAAACTCCGCTGTGTACACAGAACATATTTTCCCTATTTGTCTGCCTGGGACTGTGAGTCTTAATGCCCCAGCAATACACACAGCAGATGCTTAAGACAATGCTGTTCATGGCGTGTGTTTCTGCAGTTCTTAAAACCCTTGAAGGCCCTGCCTCATCACGACTCCCTCCAGGTAGCTTTTCTTGTCCTGTGTTTTTCTACAGCCCTGTCTTTCCCACGCAACACTTGGTACACTTGGTACACTTGGTACACTTGGTTAAACTGGCCTGCTATGCTGTTGTTTGCTTCTATTCCCCTGGTGAGTCAGCCATCAGTGAGAAGGCGCTATCCCCGCCTTTCTGTACTGCTTAGCACCGTGCCTGACTTACCTATGGTATTTAATGCCATCGACTGGATAAATAGATCAGTTCATAACAATACTCGGTCTTATGTAAATATCTGCATCTTCTTATTCAGCCTCCTTAAGCCTCTGCGAGGGAGACGGGGCAGCTCTTCAGGCCCTTGCAGCTGGGACAGTTCAAGTCTAAAAGCATTAAGGCGAGCAGGCAAAATTGCGTAGGTCTGAAGCGAAGCCGCCTGCTGTCAAAGGCTTTGTTCCTACTGCAGAATCCTCTGCCTTGGCTGCCTGATACACAGACATGCTCTTCCTCCCTAGGTACCCCTTCACGAGTCTCTCCCCAGATGCTAATTGCGTGGCTGTACCCCAGCTTCCTTCTGTTGACTGCCACAGAGGTTCCCCAGCCCCACACTGTGGCGGTCCTCCTCATGGACACGACAGTTGACAGATGAGTGAAACTTGCCACCCGCAAACATCACCTTTACTTGGTTCCTTTGCCCTACGTTTTTCTATAGGAGCACAGATGTTTGTGTAGAGACTGGTACAGCTGAGAAGTATGTATGTACAGGCTGGAGGTGTGTTTCGTGCCTTGTACTTTGACTGTGAAATGCTGCCTATAGCTTTAGGGAGTTGGTTGCGAATTGATTAATCCTAGGGGCGTTGGTCCTTTAATGAATCTCTTCATCTGAAGTCATCACAGGGAGGTGATGAAAAGTAGGAGTTTCCTGCTCTGGGGCAGCATTTGCTCAAGCTCCTTCCTGCACCCCTGCCTTTTTGCTTCCCAGTTATAATGTGAACAGCCCCTCTCCCTGCCACAGTGGAGTAAGCCTCTGAAAGCTTGAGCTGAAACCGACCGTTCTTCCTTTCGGTTGTCTTCCTTGAGCATTGCATCTGAGCTGTGCAAAAGCCTCACTAACACACTGCTCTGGGAAGCAACCCCGCCCTGCCCCCCCCACGATGAGGGTGGCTGTCACTGGGTGAACAGCAGGGGCTCTGATGGGGTGTTTCAAGGGAGTGTTCACACAAGTGCTGTAGGGAAGGATTGAACTCTCTCTGCCCGCCTATTAGCTCACGCACCAAACACACCACACCCTTTCATGGCTTTTCTCCTAGGACACCACGGGCGGCTCTTTTATCTGAGCTTCCAAAGATTACATCACGTAAGGAATCATCTTCAAAGCTGGGCGGTGGTGGCACACGCCTTTAATCCCAGCACTCAGGAGGCAGAGGCAGGTGGATCTCTGTGAGTTCAAGGCCAGCCTGGTCTATAAGAGCTAGATCCAAGACAGGCTCCAAAGCTACAGAGAAACCCTATCTCCTCCTCCCCCAAAACATCACCTTCATCCATTCTTTTAATCAAAGTCTTCTCTTTAAGGAAAACCAATCAATCCAATACTGGCAAACCCACAAGTAGCAGAATGAAAATAAAGAACAGGACTGTCTTTCTTCTATTAAATATTGTTGCAAAACACCCCATCATGCCACTTGTTTCTCCTCCCTGAATTTTCCCAGATAGGTCACAAATCTGTTCGTTCACCAAACATCAGGAAGTCATTCTTCTTTGCCATGAGCCTTGCTGTGACTGCACTGGCTCACTTCCTTGGGGGCAATTACCCACGGTAGGCTTGCCACTGAAACTACACCCAGAGCAGCTGCCAACCCCTAAGCCAGCCAGTTCGCTCTGCTCTTTGTTTATCAGAACTGGCTGAAATGCCCGACTAGCATGCCTGGGAGAAGACAGAAGTCACAAACCATCATGGTTGTCTAGGCTCCCTCTGCTGAGGCCAGCAGAGCTCACAGCATAATGGAGCATTCACTTCCAGACATACCTGTTTAGATCGGCTGGGGCGAGCAGGGAAGAAAACACACCCAGTTGGCAAAATGCAGGTGAGGGCCGGCCCCAGGTGACCTTGCTTAACTATTTCCAAAGCGATTTCCGAAACCAGTTTCTCCAGCCTCGTAGAAAGGTTTGTTTATACAAGAGGCAGTTCTCAAAATCCAAAGGTCAACGTCCTTTCCACCTCCTCCAGGAAAGGGACACTTCTGACTTGTGCCCTCCTTCGGCCACTCCCTTATGATCAGGACTTCTACCTTATCATCACCACCTGGCCACCACCTTAGCTTTTTCCCTCAGCCACTGCTGCACCTTGAGGATGGTGACACATCACAGGTGTCCGGGAAGAGCTGTGGGTACAGAGAGGCAAACTCGTTAGTGACAGATTGACCAAGACCTTATATATGTTCACATCCTACTGCTCAGCTCAGTGTCTGTCACTTATTGGATGTTAAATTATTTGTCTTGAGTCCTTGGATACAGAATGGATTAATGCATATATTCAAAATTCATACAGTCTGACGGGTTTATGTTGGTTCTGCGCATAGATCCTCTGACTAATTAGCTCTGTGAATAGTGAGCGCTCCTTGGTTTTGCCAGTGGTAAAACATGATGAAAGGTCTGTGGACGAGACCCCTCCTTCGTGATAGGATTGTGCCTGTACCACTGTGGTTATGGCTCACCTAAGTGGGTTGTGACTGTGACGTCAGCACTGCTGAGATCCAGCAGCTGTGAACTGTGACGTCAGCACTGCTGAGATCGGGCAGATGAAGTCAGTTATGATGTCACTACTGCTGAGATGGGGCAGATAAATCAGCTATGACGTCAGCACTGATGAGATCAGGCAGAAGTCAGCTATGATGTCAACACTGCTGAGATCAGGCAGAGGTGAACTATGATGTCAACTGTGGGGCCATGATAGCCAAGGCCAACCTGCAGGCACCATGTTACCGCCTGCTCTATCCTACTCAATTAGTGGCCCCAGAGAGCTCAGACCTGCCTAATAGTTTACACATAACTTCCTATGATGGCTCAGTGAACTTAATATGGTTCCAGGCATCCCTGAAGAGTCACTGACCTTTGCCTTGGAAGGCCTGTGAGATCCCCATGACCTGCGGGTGAGATAAGAATAAATAACTATGTTCCTGCTTTCTGCTTCTGTAGACTTGCTTGTCGCTGTGAGACTGG